TGCATATATGTACGTAGGTAGGTAGGTAGGTAGGTAGGTAGGTAGGTAGGTAGGTAGGTAGGTAGGTAGGGAGGTAGGGAGGGAGGTAGGTAGGTAGGTAGGTAGGTAGGTAGGTAGGTCCAGGTAGGTGGGTAGGTAGGTAGGTAGGTAGGTAGGTAGGTAGGTAGGTTGGTAGGTAGGTGGGTAGGTAGGCAGGTAGGCAGGTAGGTAGGTAGGTTGGTAGGCAGGTAGGCAGGTAGGTTGGTAGGCAGGCAGGCAGGTAGGTGGGAGGTAGGTAGGTAGTAGGTAGGTAGGTAGGTAGGTAGGTAGGTAGGTAGGTAGGTAGGTAGGTAGGTAGGTAGGTAGGTAGGTAGGTAGGTAGGTAGGTAGGTAGGTGCATGGCCAGGTGGAGCAGTTGCGTGTACAGTTAAGTTATTTATCCATCTGTCGATCTATCTAACTGGCTCGCTAGCTATCTATCTGTCTGTCTTTCTATCTGCAAAAGGACACACGAACACACCATATACATTTTTCAGAGCAAATTGTGTGAGCTGCAGCACCACTCAGTCCGGCCGCGATTGCGCCTAGCAGTGCCGACCACTCGCGAAACTTGTTGCTGCCGGGTGGCTCCAGGAGACGCTGTGAAATGCGGCAATACAGGCATGCACCACATAACCAGTCAGAAAGAAAGCAACAAGCGCACCTGTAGGTGCAGGGACTCGCGCATGATTTTCGAGCAGCAAAACCCAGGCATTCAGAAGCCAGAGCTTTGCTGATGGCGTTGGTCTTGGAAGACCTTGTAGATTTGTCGCGTTGTCGGGACAACCCGTGGTATGCCAATATTCGCATTAACGAGGATGTGCTCGATCTGCTCCATGTACCCGACTTCCACCCGTGCCTTCAGAGAGTTTCAATAGTAGCTGAGAAGTCTCCTAACCGTTACAGCTCCGTGGAAATAGCAGCGGATGGCCGGCAAGTCAACGATTTCATCCGTCGCCACTTGGGCCATGTATATGTTCTGTCGCTCTTTGACGTTGCTATCATCTCGGGGGATTTGCGACAAGCCCATGCGCTCTATAGCATTGGTGTTCAGCAACGCTGCGATTTCGATACCTTCCTGTTTTTCAACCACGTGACTGGAACCGCAGATAGCAGAACCGCGAAGGCGTTGAGCACAGCGAAAGCTGCATTCATACCTCTGTACAACCGCTTGCGAGCACAGGTGGAGGTGCTGGGCCGTGCCTTAGCCGGCAAAGTGGACTCCGTTCCAGCTATGCTTATCGAGTCTGGAGTGAGTGCATCGACGTTGAGAGCTGTGGGGAGCTATCTTTTCGGCATCTGTAGGAGGAGAACGCGAAACCGCTGTCATTTCTACTTGCGGATGGATTGCCTCCGGCGCCTTTTGGCAGCCGGGGTTGACCTGCACTCGATAGTCGTCAACCCACTTGATGCCTTGTGGTATGCAATCTGCCGGTACAGATATTTCGAGATTCGGCTTTTCATGAAGGGAGTCTATGCAGATCTGAAGCATGCGATGAACCAGCGCCCGATGACATCATGGAGAGACGGGCAGAATTTGCTCGAAATGTCCATCCGGTGCGGACAGCTTGATGCAACAAAGCTTCTGATTCGCGCGCGCTGCGAGACAAGCTCGCTTGTTGCAAGTGACTTGGAAGGACCCCTCTTCCATGACATGCGCCAGACGGAAAACGGTGATTTCTTTCCCGTCACCATCAACCACAATGTTGCCGCAGGTGAGGCAGCCCGTCTGGCATACCACCTTTGCAGACATAACCACCAGGTGGTCCTTGTTCAACTGACCGGTTGGTGGTCGCGCCATTGTGGATGTGTGCGAGTTCTCTGGAGCAGTGTGATTGATCACATTGCTTCCTTTGCTCTTGCAGTGCCTCCCCTGCCTGAGATTCTGAACCTCCCCCGCCCGCTGGGAACCCGAAATGCAGCCCGGCGTGCGGCCCGCCGTCGTGCCAAATGTTGCCATGCCGCAGTCAACAAGGTTCTGCCCAAGTTCAATCATCCGGCCGCTGAGTCTGCGCAGCCTTCGAAGGTGAAAGTATTTTCCACCCCGCGACGAATTGACATTTCGGAACTCGATTGAACTTCGGCTTGGCATGTGGGCGCTTCGATCTCTGAATTCGTCATGCGAGGTGGCACGTTATCAGGCTGAGGTTCGTCCTTGAAGCGGCGGCTAAAATCGAGCAGAACGTGGGAGTCCAAGTAGCGCCTATTCTGGCGGTTATACCGTACCTCCGTAGAGTCTGGGGTCATCTAACCAATTGCCAAGGGCTTGCGGTTAGAACAGCATGCAGGCCTTTGCTACATGCTGGCGGTGGGCAGTGATTGCTAATTTTAGAAGCCAGGTACTGGAATGCTGCAACAAGCACTTGTTTCTGTGTCTGCGATGCCCATAAACGTGAAATCCTTAACCTTGAGCTGCCCTCAGGGTTTTCTGTTGGACAGGGTCTTGATGATGATTTTTTGGGTTTCTCTGTAAGAGAGTGTTCAGGATTAGCCACCATTTTTCTGTTATAGTCAGATGGAGATTTCCTCTTGTATCACTGACTGGTTTTTCAGATAGAGCGAGAGAGAGAGAGAGAGAAAATTTTCGTAAAAGATAGGGCCATTCTGTTAGATAGGATTAACGCTCTCTCCTGTTCAAGACAGTTGGCAAAGCCTAGGTTGGCTTGGCGTCGCTCTTGAAACAACAGCAGCAGTAGCCGGCAACAGCAAGGACGACACCTACGTCGACTGCGACGCCGATGACGACGACCACGATTATGTTAGGTTTAGTTTTCGTAAAGCTTGTTGATATGACAGTTCCTAGTTTGTAAATCCCATGCCGCAACGTTGCTGATGCAAAATGCTTGCTCCTTGCCGCGAGAAGCAAATGGGCAGGGATTCTACTCCCGTAGCCATCTGTGTTCAATTGTCGAAACACCTAACCTTGCACCCTGAATCGCTTAGTGGTCTTAGGGAGATTGGTCTACGGCCCAATTTCCATTGACTCTGGTACAAGTGTCCAAGCCTAAAAAACAAGAAGCAGCATCGCACACACACACACACACACACGCACGCACCCTGCTCCATCAGCAAATGCCGCCCACTGCAAGTTCTGAGAGCACTATCCGAGGTGCAATGTGAAGCGATTTTGTGTTAAGCTTGGATTCCGAGGTTGGGGCTAGAGATCTCAGTGCCGCGTTTGTCAACTTGCTTTGTGTGGTACAGTGACATGCACACACACACACATATATATATATATATATACACATGTATACCTGTGTGTATATATATATATATATGTGCGGGCATACTTACATACACATATGCACATACACGTACATACATGTATACATACAAAACATGCATGACATGCATGATATACAAAGCTACACAGTATAACATTGGGTGTCATAACGTAACGTGATGAAGGGTAACCTGACGTAAGTGACATAGCAGTTCATAGCAAACCATATCATACTGCATCACGTCATAGCAGAACATAATAGACGTAGCATAACATGACAGGCTGGCAGGCGGCCAGGCAGACGGACAGACGGACAGTCAGGCAGACAGACACGCAGAATACATACATGCGTCCAAACAAACATACATGCATACATACGTACATACAAACATACCTCTAAGATACATGTACAGACATATACGTACACATACAGATGCTCATACACATACACATAATCATATACATATGCATACATGGACGAAAAGGAGACCAAGCGGTACACAGCGTGAGACAATGAGATATTTCCGTGTATGCAGCTGGTCAGATATGTATGTGATTGTGTCTTGATATTTCTGTGGAACAGGTACATGCTCATGTATGTTGTTCACATGCGTTTGTATCTGTATAAACATACTGCATGCATACATACATCAGGCACAAATGATGAACAATGCAGCAGGCACACAGCGTCAGCCGACGTCCTATTCAAGTGTACTTGCCAGTGGTCATGTACGCATGTTTTTGTGTATGCGTGTTTCTGATGAACACTTATAGTATATGTTCATATGCCGTCAAATAACAACCTGTATGTGTGCCCATATGTACATATAAAGAAAACTACATAATAATACTTACATTGCATGCATGCCTGCATACAGTGTGTGGGCGGCAATATGAGGCAGTACTTCTCCGGACACAACGCCATTTAGGTGGCTTCAGGAGAGACCGGGAAAAGTGGCAATCCGGCAGGCAAGCGCGCAGCCAGACAGAACAAGAAGCGCACCTGTAGGCGCAGGGACCCGTGCATTATTTGTGAGCTGCAGACTCCAGGCATTCGGAAGCCAGAGCTTTGCTGATGGAATTGGGTCCTGGTCCGGAAGACCTTGTAGATCTGTCGCGTTGCCGAGGCAACCCGTGGTATGCCAATATTCGCATCAACGAGGATGTGCTCGATCTGTGCCATGTACATGAATACCACCCGCACCTTCAGACTGTTTCCGTAGTAGCTGAGGAGTCGCCTAATCGCTACAGCTCCGTCGTGGTTGCGGGGAACGGCAGGCAAGTAATCGATTTCATTCGCCGCCATGTGGGCCACGTCTACATTCTATCGCTCCTTGACGTTGCAATCATCTCAGGGGATTTGCCCAAAGCCAGTGCTCTCTGCAGTATCGGTGTGCAACAGCGATGCGAGTTCTCTGCTTACCTTTTTTTCAACCCTCTGACTGGAGTCGCCGATAGCAGGACTGCGAGGGCACTGGCCACAGCAGAAGCGGTGTGTGGACCTTTGTACAACAGGTTGCGAGCAAGCCCAGAGGTGCTACGCCGTGCCCTAACTGGCAAGGTGGACTCTGTTCCAGCTATGCTAATGGAGTCTGGGATAAGTGTACCTCTCGATTTGGGAAACGATATGTTTGCCATGCGCAAGGTGGGAATGCGAAACCATTGGCACTTTCATTTGAGGATGGACTGCCTCCAGCGCCTTTTAGCTGCCGGTGTTGACCCTCGCCCAATTGTCGTCAACCCTATTCTTGCCTTGTGCCGTGCGGTCGAGCAGTACAAATGTCTTGAAATCCGGGCTTTCATCAGGGGAATCCTTGAAGACTTGGAGTATGCCATAGAAAGCGGGAGACTGACATTCAGAAACGGGCGGACTTTGCTCGAAATGTCCATCCGCTGTGGACAGTTCGATGCAACCAGGCTTCTGATTCGCGCGGGCTGCGACGCCAGTTCGCTGTTGGCAAGTGAGTTGGAAGGACCCTTGTTTCGCAACATACGGGATGAGGAGAGAAAATACCCCTGGCGCTACACCGGCGATTGTTACGATGTGACCATCAACGGCGATGTTGCATCTGCAGAAGTGGCACGCGTGGCCTACCACCTTTGCAGGCATCGGCATCAAGTGGTTCTTGTTCAACTGACAGGTTGGTGGTCTCGCCACGGTGCAGGTGTGCATGTTCTCTGGAGCAGGGTGATTGATCACATTGCTTCCTTTGCTCTTGCGGTGCCTCCCCTGCCTGAGATTATGAACCTCCCCCGCCCCATGGGAACACGCAACGCAGCCCGGCGTGCGGCCCGCCGTCGAGCCAAACTTGGCTACGGCGCCCTCAACGAAGGAGCTCCCGACTTCAAGCATCCAGCTTCTGAGTCCTCTGACAATGCGGTGCAGAAAGTCATCGAAGAGGTGGTTGTTTGCCGAAAGCAAGGCTTGAGAACGGCTTGTAGGATAAGAACCTTTGCCACACACCAAGCCCTGCCCGGAAGATGGGAAGTTGATCTCTGGTCTCTGAATACAAGCACGCAGGTCATGCACGATCCCATGGAACAGCCGGCCACGATTTCGGAGGGTGAGGCGAGTGCCACTTCGAGGGCTTTGTGGGAGGCTGCTGTGGAGATGCGAGCCACGGAAACGAGGACTCAGCTTGTTTTCGAACTGTGTCGTGCTCATATAAATATGAGGAGCTGAGTAGCCTCAGTAGGAATGAAGTGGTTTCTAGTGCATGTTTGTCCGGCCTCATCTAGATTCTAGATGAGAGCTGCAGCCTCGAGGACAGATGTCACGTTCAGCCTCGAGGAGGGGGAGTCTGCTTCGACAGCACGTGAGGAAGTCTACCTTGCCAAACTCAACCGGATACCGAAGCAGCTCCGCAGTGCCTTCGCCGATGGTCCAGCTCTTCGCCCCTGCCGCGACGCGCTCCAGGCGGAGGGACTCAGTTGGAAGCTGGCTTGAGTTCGATAAAGTTCTGCATTGGTGAAGTCTGACACCAGATTAAACCCTAAGCCCTAAGCAATTCGCTCAGTGGCGCCCCCCAGTATCTCAGGAAACTGAGCAGCGGCGCCATGATCTTCGTGAGCCCTTGGCAATACACGGCGGCCATCATCGCTCTCAGCGATCTTGAGTTGCACCCGGACCACCTGGTTTTCTCCCGTTCCATGGAGTACTTGGTGGAGGAGGTGCTCCAGCAGCATTCCACCTGGGTCAAAGATCGAAGCGTCCTCGACATCCAGGAATTTCAGGCAACTTCCCGGCTTCACAATTCTCAGCACCAGGAGGAGGAGAGCGATAAGCCACGGGCCGATCCAGGTGCCGGAGACATCCCCTCCTGGCAACCCTTCATGTTTGTAGAGAAGACCTTCGTTTGCCTGGCTCCTATGAGAAGCACCGCACTCACCACGGCTTCCAGCACGGATGTCCACCGGGATGCCAACCCGCGACGCAGTGCAATCCCGGAATTCGATTGAACTTCAGTTTGGCATTTGGGCACCTCTTCTCTGCACAGCTCTCGGCTTCCAAGAAGCAGTCATGCACATGGGAAGACAGGCTGTCAGGGTCCAGGGGCTATTATTGTTTTTTGACGGTACACCATGCCTGTAGAAGCAGTTATGCACCACAGGCCTTTGTACAGATGCTGTACATGTACAGACCGGAAATACCCGGAAGGAATTCACCCAGGCCGGCAACATTGCAGTCCACCAAGCAGTCATGCAGGGTGGCGCATCGCCGGGCGGAGGTTTGACACCGAAGCTGCCGAGGGCGGTGCGAAACTGTGGGAATCTAGGGATCCAGCCGCCACCACCACCACCACCACCACCACCACCACCACCTCCGTCGTCATCACTACCACCTTCACGACCATCGTCACTAATTAATTCCTTTGCATGCTCAGCTAATCCTCATCGTGAAAGTCGTTGTTGCCCTCCTTCTCGTGGCCATCGGCATCGTCAGATTACCCCATACGGGGTTCATGGGTATCGGCGATTGGCCGGTGCACCTGGCAGGTGGCAGGTGCCAAGAACTGAGGACCGAACAAAGTTTGGGGTTTACCGATTACGGGTTTTATTTAGGCTTCGAAGTTTACAGGCACTGCTTCAGACGTGATGCCAGGCAGGCTACTGTAGCTCGAGAATCCAAACGCTCTCAATTCGACATGCGGCTGCGGTTATGTCTAGGGAAGATTTTGATTGAAACCCATCTGTGCAAAGTGTGACGTTGCTTCAGGCTACGACGTGCAGACCGTGCCTGCTGCCGAGGAAGCAGTTGGAGACTACCCGCTTGAAAAAAAGACGGATGGTGCGCTTTGGGCTTTGCATGCAGGTTGCGCAGATATCACCGAAGACCCAGGTAGGAGCCCAGACCACAGCCCTAAGCCTTGAACCCGAAATCAGGCACTGCAGGTCTTCAGTTTGATGTTGTTGACCCTTTTTCGACGGTGCCGCACCTGCGCGTCGTCAGGTTCGCCGGCTTTATTTTTGGTTGTAGCAGCACACCTAAATCCAAGGAGTGGCGCCCTGAGCCCAACACCTTAAATCCCCAAACCTTTAACTCGAAAGCAACATGTCCTCATCAAGAAGCTAGCAGAACTCAGGGAAGGTTGCATGGTAGCGCGTGATGAGCTTTTCAAGGTCTTCAGCTTTAGTTTAGGGGTTCAGGATTTAGGTTTAGGTCCAGAAAGGCTTAGGTTCAGGGTTTTACAGTTTGCTTAAGGATTTCGGGCTCCAGAGGTTAGTTATAGGGTTGCAATTAGTTAGGCTGTAAGGTTCGGGGTTGACGGAGGCACTTCATCCCTGCTTCTTTCGTACCGCTGTGCCTAACTGTAGTGTGGCCGTGAACCAGTCTTGTGCGATGCTGTACTATACTACATGCGCTTTGCCACTCCAAACCTACGAGGCCTCTGTGCCACCGCCCGAGAAGCTGAGAGTTGTGATCAAGGCCCAAGACTCCCTTGTTAAAGTTTCAATCATGCGCCGTAAATTCCCAGAGAGGGCGATATACAGCTGGAAGGAAGAACACTTGTGTTTGCTAGGGTTCGTTCGTAGTTCGATTATTGCTAATTATAACTTAGAGCAGCTGAGACCTACTTCCACGAAGACAACGACGATGGCAACGACGACGACTACCACTAGTACTTGCATGACTCTGAATATTTCTCGAAGTACGTACTGTTATGATAGCTCCTATGTAGGTGTCGGTCTCTCGGAACTTCGTGCCGCAACTTGGTTGATCCAGGACGCTAGCTCTTGCCCGCCACAAGGGAAGGTGCAGAGATACCAATCTCGTGACCATCTTTGTTTAGCACCAAAAACTCCCGGATCACTTAGCAAGTTGAGAGTCGCCAGGTCCCCCGGTGCAAGAGGTTCCGTTGGCTCTGGTGCAACTAGCAAAGCCTAGCATAGAAGACCCGAACCCCCAAGGTAAGGTACCTACTATATAGGGCCCTAGGGGTTCTAGTAAGGTACCTGGGGGGTTAGGAAGAAGTAGCGCACACTCCACCTGCACCATGAGCAAATGGCTGCCGAGCCGATGCTTAAGGCATCCTTGGCCCGGGCAGACTTCAGGGGTCAGAGAAGGTCAGGGATTCTCATGTCCGTGTGGGTTGAGGTTTAGAGTTTGTAGGGTTTAGGGTTGGAACACAATATCATAAAGCCTGCCTAAAAACTTACACGCCACTACAGAGACAGAATGTTACAGACGTATACAAGCCCCCCAAGGTAGAACCCTGAAGCCCCACTTCACCAGGTGTGCAGAAGAAGAAGTTGACCGGGCCGTAACCATCTGTCCATACGAGAGCATGAGTCATGAGGTAGGAGTTTCAAGATGAAGCACCAGGAAGCTGGTGTCTATGTGGAAAGCTCTAGAAGTCGAGATACCGGCAAGCCCTGTTCTAGATATCTCGGCGTCTACGCGAGGGACAAATCGCTGCGATAACTAGCGGAAGGTTTGCACCCCTGGCAGTTTCGGGTTTGTTCGAGCTTCTGACTTTCTGGCCATTGCCGTAGTCCAGATGAACCCCCCCTACAATGGAATGAATGCAGCTGAGGCCCAACAACCACCAAGCCGTAGACCTTATGCCAAACCTCTGACCCTGTAGGCCTTAGGGTTTAGGGTCCCTGCTGAACCCAAAGGTCCCCAAAAAAACCCTCTGATGTCTTAGAGGAGCCCTAAAGCCCTGGAGCATTGAGGCATCTTGTGCTTGGTTTGGCAAGCGCGGCTATCGTGCAGTCGCAGGCACTGCGACGGTTGAGGGTTCCTGCAGAGTTTGAGTAGAGTTTTTGGGGGCGATCGTATGAGAGAGGTGTTATAGGGTTATCATCTAACTCGGGTTTTTCTACCGGGATATTGTACGATCAATCCAGGACGATTTATGAGCTTTGGGCAGGGTTTAGTAGGGATGTTGCAAGATCACCACGAGGCTACTGTAGGTGCCATTGGGATTTGGGTATTTTGGGTACAGGTGCTCAGGGTCTAATAATCCTGTGGAAGTTGTGGTGGTTGCAGGATTTAGAACTTAAGATGCAGGGTTCATATAATTTTCACGGGGGGGGGGGGGGGGGGGGTCTGCGCTTCATTTCTAGAAGCTTTCACTCTACGGTTATGCTATATGGTCAATCTTTGCAGACCCTCAACGCGTTGGGGTTGAGGTGTCAGGGTTTTGCACGTGGGCTTTGGGGTGTACGACTTGGGACTTGGGCGTTCAAGGGTCCAAGCTTAGTTAGGGTTTAGGACGATTTAGGGTAGGATATGAGCTGCGAGGCTTCGGGTTACAGGAATTGGAATTTTGGGTTAAGCGTTTAGCCCCTACGCCCTAAACCTAAACCTTTGAACCCTGAAACCCTTGAACCCTTGAACCTTTAAACCCTTCAACCTTAAGCCCTAAACCCTGAACCCTTAAGCCCTTAGACCCTTAAACCGACTTAAACCCTATAAACCCTAAAACATTTAGGACTTGGGAATTGGGATGCTCTTGGGGTGAGACTTGTTCATTCCGCGCGTCACAGAAGGGACACCCATAATAATACCCCTGTTGCTTCGTGGGAAGCGCGGAATGCAGACAACTGGAGCGCCCTATTCCCGAATGTGTTGAGCTGTCTTGAGTTTGCATTCCTAGAGCCAGAAGAAAAAATGCTTCTGTACGGCAAGTAGAACTCTAAAGCTGGGGAAGCTTCTCGCCGAGAGACATCCCCTGTGAAAGCACAGAGAACCGCTTGCACCGTGAAATCTCGAAACCCTAAGCCCAAAAGGCCCTAAACCCTAAATCGCAAGCCCCAAACTCTGAACCCTTCGAAAACCCCTCAGAGCCCTTTGCCCCACACCCGGCTCCGACTGCCATCTCGATATAGAGGCCTGGAAAGTCCGTAGCATATTTTCCCGGTATAGTTTATATTCCGGCCCTTATCATGCCAGGTCCTGATGTCTCCAAAAAACTACGGAAGGGTCTCTTGCAGACTCCTGCTGAAACCCTTTGAAAGGTCCTGAAATTCTAAGACCTTCATAAAAACCTGTTGAACATGTGGAACTTCTGGAGACCCGAAACCTAAAACCGTAAACCCTCAACCCTAAGCCCTAAACTCTGAACCCCAAAACCGTAAACCCTCAACCCTAAGCCCTAAACTCTGAACCCTAAAACCGTAAACCCTCAACCCTAAGCCCTAAACTCTGAACCTTTGTCAGCTGGGCGGGTGGGAAAAAAAACTCTGAACCTAAACCCGTAAACCCTCAACCCCAAGCCCTAAACCCTGAACCCTAAACCGACTTCCAGGAATCGATGGAAAGTTTGGGCCTGGGCTCGTCCGGTCGATTGGCATCCCTCTTCCGAGATGCGGACCTCACAAGGGAGGGATTCGAGGAGGATTATAGTAGGGGGTGTAGGATCGCCCTTAGTACGGGGTCAGAAAACAGGGTTCAGGGTTTTGGGGTTTAGGGCTTAGGGGTTAGAGGATGGTTATGGAGGAGGTGTGTCGTTGTTTTTTCTGGCTTTAGAAAAGGGATGTGATGTATATGTATTCTAGGCATTTTCTGGCTCTCAGGATTTGCGATGTCGAGCGTTTCGGCTCTACAGGTCTTTCAGGGTTTAGGGTTTACGGCTTTAGGGTTTAGGGTCCTAAACCCTAAGCCCTATGGACGGCATGAGATTTGTGGGCTCCAAGGACTGCAGGTTTCAACGCACTAAGCTTCTCTAAAAACCCCAAGGTCTGCCCTCACGTGTAGTCCCGCTTTTTGGTTACCGCCTTTGGTCAGCCCTAGGGTTTCGGGTTTAGGGGTTTAGGGTTTAGGGTTTAGGGTTTAGGGTTTAGGGGTTTAGGGTCTAGCTGCAAAGTAGGTTATCAAAAAGGTACTACATACAACTGAGGCTCTACACAGAGCCTAGCGGCTGTCGGTCCATGCGATCGGAAATTTCCCGAGACCCTCAACGTTCGTCCCAAAAGCCATTAATACCACGAGCCTACCCACAGGCCCCATAGTC